GTAATTGGGGCAGTAACTCCCAAACTAGAGGAGCGGCTAAAGCAGATCTTAGGAAAAACATCTGACATCTCAGTCCAGAAAAGTCCAGTTCTAGAAATAGCTAAGCTAATGCACAGAACCCTTGAGCTCCAGGGCCAAACCCTGTAGGGACTTCAAACAAACATGAGAACCTTAAAACTATTCCAAATTCGAATCATTATCCAGAGTACAGATAAAAAAACAGGAAAAAAATGAGTAAGGAAATAAACCTGGCAGTCGTCGGCTTATAAATGGAATAAAACACCATATTTCTGGAATAGTGTTCCAAGTGGCAAAAAATAAAGGGAGACCAAAAGAGGACCAAGAACAGATCCCTGGGGCACCCCCCAGTTGAGATCAGCAGAAGAGAATGAAAAATCTCCCATGCTCAAAAAACAGGAAGGATGTGACTCACCGAAGACCTAAAGCAGTAATGCCCAACCACCACTCCAACTAAATAAAACATTGTGATCCACTGTATTTAATGCTGTGGTCAGGTGCACAGCATATCCATAGTAATTAGCTTTTAATTATAAATATATATTTCATACCTGTTTAAAACCCTCTAAAGAGCAGACTAAGTACTGTGCTCTGTCGTGAGCCCAGACTGGAACACTTCCAGGATTTCATGGTTATCATGTGTACATTACATAGCGTCACTTTTGCGCCATTTGTTTATTGTTTAGGATAAACATTTAATCGAATTGTATTTGTGTATAGTGACAATAAAAGGCATTCTATCTATTCTATAAAACAAAGCATAAAAATAAACAGATGACAGTCAAAAGGAACCTTGCTCACCTGTGTCTTAAAAGCCAAATAATTACTCTCAGTAACTGTAATGGACAGAGATGTTCTCCCCAGAATGAACTACAGCATCATACTGACTTGCTAAAAGCATCTACTGACTGACACCATGTAAGTCTTTCCATTACGATGATTCCTCAAGGCACCAAAATGCTCTCGAGGATTAATCCATGGATAATAATTGATGTCAAAGAGGCAGCAATGAGATAAACTTGTGCACAACCATGACAGCTTATATCAAAATACACACACACACACACACACACACACACACACACACACACACACACACACACACACACACACACACACACACACACACACTCATGCGCGCAGTCATCCCCTGTTGCACACCTTCCAACCTTCTTTCCACTTGTTTAGAGAGACTCATCATGTCTCTGCAGATGTCATCTAATTGAGACTCAAGTCTAATGGTAATAATTCAAACCCTCTGGTGGTGTTTGTGTTAAGACACTGACCAAACACACACACACCACACACACACACACACACACACACACACACACACAAACACACACACACACACACTAACACACACTCTGTTTACTGGAAAATAATCAGATAAATGACTTTATGGTTTTATGCAGTGGAGTTGAAGTGGCAGCTTATAGTGTCCTGGAGCTAGGGGACAGTACATAAATACATTTCAGAGTTTTACACCATATCGCCATAACTGATGCTAGTTTAAAAAACATTACGGTAAATGTTGTTACCTGTGGAGCAGAAAGCCAATGGCTCCCCCAAAAAGTGGCCAGTGGTGGTCATGGCCACCCCTAGAAAATTGCTACCAAAAGGATCTATTTGGTGGGCCACCCCAAAAATTTCTTTGACCTCGTCTGGCCACCCCATCAAAATTTTCTGGAGGCGCCCCTGAGAAAGCGTGCAACCTCGGCTTGACTCCTCAGGCTTTGATGGCCCTCCAGCTAATTTTATCGAGAGAATGCAATACTGATTGTAGTTTTTTGGTGCTGTAGTTTCTGGATCTGCTCGGGTCCTGTGTCTGCTGATGACGTCATACTACGGCAATACCGCTCAGCCAAAATGTATTGCATCTCTTTTGATTATGTTCTTTCACGTAAGTTTTTGAAAGAGTTTACCTGTTTTGTTATTAAATTCATGTTTCTTACTACCTAAATGTATTTGAACGCGGTAACATAACTTAAATAAGTCGTACGTCCAGCCAATCATCTAGTGAGGCGCCATTGACAGGTGCAGGACCCCGAGCCGACCAGAAGGAAGCATGGCATCTAATATGGTGTCCCCCAGGGTCTTAGACCCACGCCCTATGTACTTTAGACCCTGTTATGGCTATGTGTTATGAAGCCGCCAACATTTTTCCACAACTGTTAATCATTTTATTCATTTTCAACAACATTTTGATGGATATTTACAGAGATTAAAGTTAAAAATACACATTGTCACTTTAAACATAAAACATTCATAAGTAAGAGATAAGTTACCCCTTCTTTCCACGGGACGTGAAAGGGGCGCATATGAAATCCCTTCGTTCTGGGACACACCCTAAACATTAAGCTTTGCTGCTGCTGGAGAGGAACTCAAACGCAAGCAAGAACGGGGCACAAATCAGGCAACAAATCTTGTCTGGAGCCTTGGAATCCATGTGCTTTTGATTTTAATAAAAGGGTTTTAAATAGAAAAATGTTTGAATTGTTACATAGCCTTGTATCTAGACTCGTCTTTCATTGTGGAATGAACAAAATCTCTTCTAGGTTCTAAATTCCCAAAGCTTAAATCTTTCACTTTTATCACTCACGGAAAACAAAAATGAGCTGAATAACTGTTTACCACGGCTTGTGTTGTCTGTAAAGGATGAGTGACGCAGAGCCCAATGAAAATAGTCAAAGAGGAGGATTACAACCCTGCACACTTTGTCACTCCCAAATGTCTAGACACTGTTTTTAGAAAATTACAAAATGAGATGAACACAGTTCTCCCTAATCCAATGGTAATTAAAGATGTCACCATCAGATAAGCCAATCTGACCGTTTCGAATGTCGTGGTTGCCTAAAAACAGATTTTCTGCATTTATTTGTTACTGAAACTGTTATGCAAGGCAATTATTGATTTGTTTGGGGAACATTTTAAAATACTTTTCTGACTATTGTGTCTTCCTCTCAGAACAATGTTCATTATTCTGCACAAGGTTCCATTGAATTACTCCTCTAATCATCATGAGTTTGGCTGTGTTATAATGTTTTTCGCCTTGGTAACTTTGGGCATCATCCTGCTAAAACGTTGCTAATGATGCACATGATGCACACTTTTTGAATTCAAAATTGTCATGTTGACATGAATAAGCACATTTTTAACTATAAAGGCATATGCATGCGCAAACAGAATCACTCTTTGAATGTTTTGCATGCATTTTCTTGCCATCCTAATGTTTTCCCGTCCACATCTAGGAGTGGAACTGATTTATTCCATTTCCATAGAGATGAGCAGTGAGTTACTTTTGTTTGCTCTTCCAATTTGACGCTAATGAATGCAGATTGAAAAGATGTCAGTGCATTCTTAAAAAAACCTTCCTAACACCTGTGCAGTGGCACAACTCTGAAAGGTCCATGAATAAACAAATGAATACACTGCCTTATTAATTTGTCTCCCTCCCCGTCTTGTGGAGGTTTAGGAGCATGGATGGGAGCAAGAAGACTACTTTATGTTAAATTGTGTAATTTATCAGTGGGTGTTGATAAATTATTATTCCTTGTTGAAGTGATGTTTTCTACTCCTCATGATTTCAGAAGGCCTGAGTTTCTATGATTACCTCTTTGCTCAGACTCCAGAGTGGAGGAGGAAGTCCAAAGGCTAATTCACATATAAAGGGTGTTTTAAATGGGTGTTTGACAATTTTCAATGTCATCTGGACTTTTAATTTACTCAAGGAGATGGAATCTAACAAAATTCTCCCTTAAGAAAATAAAACTACTTAATTTTTGTCTTGTGCATTTCACCAGACAGATTTAAAATGTATTTTATCACCATTTCGGTAACGCTTTACAATTTTAAGCACTAGCAGACACACCCTTGGGCCTTTTGTTCTAACCTTAAGGACATTTACTAGGTAATATCGAGCATGTTAATAAAGGGATCCTTAGTATAACAATGCTTATTAATGCACTAAGTAACATTAATAAAATGACTCCTACTGTGAAGTGTTACCACCATAAAGGCAAATATTTGGAAAAGCTCATGCAAATAAGTAAATAAATTAATGAAAATCAGGCTTCCTACAGTTTATTATTTCATACATGCACCAAAACTCAAACCTTTTCTTTTTTGTCTATTGGGTTTCTTGTTGCCATTGAATTAATATTTGTTTTCACTATTTGCACACAACCAAGCTCTCATTGATTTTCATGTGCAAAGCACATTTTTCTTTAAAACAGGAAGTCAAATGTCTTTATAACTTACAATGACCCCAACAGAAGCGTGAAAACCAGACCCTTCTGCCCCGTCCGGTTCGAGAATGTCTTTCAATAACACCTCTACACGTTTCACAGTGAATGATTGTTTTAGACTCTTATTGAAACAAATTAGTTGTTTTATGCTGTTGCTGCTGATGAACTCTGATTCCCTACCCAAAGTCTTTTTCAATGAAGTCAAGTCACCAGAAAACATAATAAGGGGATCATTAATCTACAGTTGAAAGTATTTGTCATGACCTGTAATTTCAATAAATGAAGTCTTTTATAAATTTGAATAATGACAAAAAACCTGATAAAAGGCTTCAGATTACTCACAATAGAGCAGAAAAACATTTTTAGATTGAAACAGATTTGTCTCGAGTAATGACGGTTGGGTTTTTTAACATTTTGCTTTCTCATTGACTTTAATGTATTCTGGCAGCACATTTTAACAACTTAGGATAATAATGTTTGGCAGTACCCGGCTTTTCTTGGACCTGTGAGTCAGTGACTTCTCTACAGCTGCAAGTATATCTGCTAAAAAGCACTTAATGTACATTAGATAAATTAAACGGGGGCATAAACATCAGCATCTGGCCTAAGTGTTTTGATGTGGACACGATATTATGTTTATCGTCAACCCCTTAGCACAAACCTGGAACCGTCATGTTAGAAAAAAAACAAACAAATCTATATCTAGAGAGAAAACTGACAGATGGGCGCTCTCACCGGTGTATGATGTGCTTACAGCGGAGGTATCCCAGAGCCAGAGCTAACTCACATATGTAGAGCTTCACAGTGCTCTCTGTAAAGTGCACGTTCTGCTGGAGGTGATACCGCAAGTCTCCACCCAGGAGCAAGTCCACCACCATAAACATGTCCTCCTCGTCCTGGAATGAATACCTGCATAAAAAAATTGAGTAAATAAAAAGAAGAATGTGTTTAAAGGTGTGGTAAAGGTGCACTCCTGTGTCCTGATATTTGGACATCTCTTCTCGGATTGGATAACAGCAACGTGACTCTACTACTGATTTATCTCCACAAATAACTCAAGCCTGGATGAGCTTCTGCTGTGTGGTGAAGTTGCTAATGCTAACGATTAGCTTATAATAGTCGGCACATTCTCTGTTTCCAGGATGCTTAAACCAACAACAGCCTTTCCCATCGTGACTCAAGATGGGTGAGTCCATGAATGTAAAGTGACAGTGTGTGTAGATCTGTCAGGCTTTTCAAATCCTAGAGTTTCACCATCAGAAACACATTTGAAAGGTGCAAGGAGAAAAAACATTCAGTCCAGATGAAGGCAACAGAAACTTAGATTGACAAACACAATGAACATGCATTTGTTTATAAGTTTTACCTCCGTACACGGATTTATTTAACTGAATGAATCAGCTCTGATTCCTGCGTCTAACAGCAACAACTAAGAAATGAAAAGGCCAGAAGCTAAACTAAATACACAAGTCAGCCTTGAGCTACTCAGACCAACCACGTCATTGCAAAGCTTTGGTACAAAAGGAAATTGTTCATTAAAATTACTGATGAGTATTTCAACAAGAGTTTCTAAGAGACCAACTCTACAGGCCTGACGCGAGTAACGGCTAAAGAATTAATCGTTTGTCTTTGTCTCCGACGTTAACATGGTAAGAAATGCCTTGATTATGTAAAAGAAGTAGACGTTAAACTGAGCACACGTCTTTGCTTTCAGTCTATTTAACATCATTTTATATCTGCTAGTCAGTTTCAGTTTCAGGGTCCCACATTGGCAGGAAAAGAAAACGTTGTCTGCAGTTTTCAAAAAAAACTGAGGAATTAATCAGATCAGTGCTGTGTTGGCCTTTAAGTCAAATAAGGTAAGGCTGCACATGAAGCATAATCTCTATGTGATCACATTAGCGATTAAAAGGATGTTTTTTTTTTGTAGAAGAGCACAATTTTGTTGGGCATGTTAATGTCTGTCCCATCAATGGCAGATGTATGAAAGTTGATTACTGTGCAAAATCCTGAATCAAGCAAACTCGTCTACTTACAAATTCAAAGTTAAGGACTTGGACTCGACTTGATGGTCTTTGACTTGGACTTGACTCGAGACTTGACTGGAAAAACTTGTGACTTACTTGTGACTTGCAAAGCAGTGACTTGGTCACACCTCTGCTGAGAAGCAATAAGTTCTTTAATAAAAAATAACAAATAACGGCTGTTTACTCAAATGCTACAATGGAACATATTACTCCAAATATGGGAGGCTCGCTATGTATTGTTTCTCCCTCTTAATAATCCTAACCTATTAGTTCCTTAATTATGAGACCACGCTTCTTGTTAATTCGTCTTTAGGCCAATGCTTTCTGACCTGTGAGGAATAAGGCACAACAAGTAAGGAAAGAGAGCAGTTCAATGGCACTTTTCTGAAAGTTTAAGCTATTACACTCCAACTGAGAAAAGGAGGTTTGAACTTAGCAAATAGGAGTTTGTTAAAACTAGAGTACTTCTGCAAATGAGTCTCAATCAACATGTATCTGAGGATGAGTGCAATGTTTTTACAGCCTCCCAGTGTGATGGAGCAGAAGTATTCCACTCAGCTTTGATTAGACGCTGGAAACCGTCTCCGTGCACTAAACAGATAAGTTCGGAAAGTAGTGTGTTTTAAACTCAAGTCGTGAAATGCTCCAGATAAATTCTTGTGACATCCACATGCTAATCCTGACAGAATCAACCATTTCCTGCTATTACATTTGCTTTGGCCTAATCCTCAAAGGTTTGGGTAACCATCAACAACGTATTTATTGATTGGGGTTTGCTTGTAAAAAAAAAAAAAAAATAAAAAATAAAAAAAGATGTGCCTTATTCTATGAAATAAAGTAACCTGTAAATTTGATTATTTAGGCTGTGCATGCTGATAAAATAAATCATCATACAACTTCATTTAAAATTTTTTGGATAGTCTTGTCATATTTGGAATTGCAAGCATGGTCTTTTATTCTCATGTCTTGGGAAAGAGTCACACTTCCAAAGTCTAAACTCAAACGAGTCTTCTGGTGCTGTTCTAGGCCAATGAAAGGAGATGGCAGAATTACAGCAAAACGCACCGGTATTATCTGATGTGAGTGGAAAATCTTAAATAAATGTGACTTTAAACTTGACCAAATTCGTCCAGAAATGTTTCTTCTCGGGGTTAATGGGATTTCTAGAATAGTCTTTTTGAAAACCTGCATTAACGTGTGTGCACTGTGAGCAGGTGATGCCAACTTCAATAGAAAATGAAACATAACAGAATAATTAATTAATGAGGACACAAATAAGTTGAAACACAAACATTGGGATGGAGTTGTTTTGCAGGCAGGGTTTAGTTTCTATTCATCAAGCCACCATGTTATTGAACAGCACACGTGCAAAACCAGTTTAATTGAGTAGAAAACCAGCGCTCACGCTTGGTTGCAGATTTCATGTTTTCTGTCCCACTAGTCTTCCATCAACAAGCCAAAGTTATAAAACCAGAAGGCTTCTCTGTCATTACTGCTGTTAAAAAGTTGAGAGAAAACAAGGCAGACAGACTTGTTGATGGTAATCTTTTCACACTCTTTTCACACTGGGATGGGTGTGCTTAAAACAACAGAGTTTTTAGGAAATATAATAATTTTCATTTAAAAAACTCTTTCTAACTGCTAAATCTAATCACACTCCCTTTCTTCTAGTTTGTACCTTTTGTTAATTAAAAACCATTATAGTGTTTAATTAATTTTCCTCACAGTGTATCTGGATTTTATGGGGGTATTTAATATTCAAAAAGCTTAATTTAGGTACTTCTTGTTATCTGCCAAGAGGGACTTTTACATTTTATTTATTTTTTTATTTTTTGGGTGGGCTGTCTCTTTTAGTAACAGCTGTAAACAAAATAATAAAGAAAATTTGAAATGCAACATAAGCTAATGGAGAATTGCTTTGTCAAATCCACCTGCCTTTATTGTATTTTGCTGTGATGAGCTTAGTAAAACAAGAAAGAATATATTTAACATCTATTGGCAGCTGCTGCTTGACGGCCCAGAAAACTTTCCGAGTAGACAGCAGCAGTTAGGCAGCAGATCTGTGTCAGTATATTATGTTGAAATGGTGCAGACGTTTCATTAGCTGTCCTGGCATCGAGACTGGTCCCTCTGTGGTGTGCTGGTTCACTCCCTGATTCAGTCTCTCTGGTCCCGTAGCTGCATATACCCTCTTCTTTTCACTATTTTTTTCCCCTTTAATGTCTGCCTCTGCTCTTCCTCACGTGCATTTCAATGTGACCTCTTCTTAGCCTCCAGGTGCTCTCAGTCTCATGGGAGAGCATCCTGAATAAGGAGCTTTTAGATGCAGAGGCACCCCAGGCCACCGTGGTAATGGATGTCTGAAGGAACCACAGGGGCTTGCAGGCTAATGGTAACGTGTCCCAAAAGGCGTTACTTTTCTCCTGTCAGAGGCAACAGTTACGTCTGGTGAAGTTACATGGATGGGTGGGGAAAAAAACTGAGGATGCACAATTGGATTGGGTTTCTGTCTTTTATTAGAGGAAAATTCCTGATTGGTGCAGATTAGAAATGTATTCTAACAAGACAATAAGACATTTACTGTCAAAGAAGAAAATAATTGTTTTATGCAGGAACAGTTATACAAAGTGATATGCAGATGTGTTTGACCTGTGGGAAGCAACTTAAGTACCAAAATAAATCTCAAATGAGGAGAACATGCTAAAATCTAGTTCAAACCCATCCGTTTTGACAATCTTAAAGACATGCACAATGATCATACCCGCACTAAAGATAATCTTATCAGATACTCCTACCATGTGTGGTGTGATAACAGCTCTATGGTACGCTCAGAAGGACATCAGGACCACTCTGGTCATAAATCTGGGTTTTGAAACATGTTGGATTGTCTTGGTCTTCTATCTGGGAAAAACAAACTTGTTACCTGTTAAAAATGATGTTAAATGTGACATGGTGGGGGGTATGAAAGGATATCTACAAGGACTCGTCTCTTATCATTCACTTAGAAGAGCCATTCAAATGATTCAGTTTGTTCCAGAACATCTCAAATTAGGAACCTAAATCAAAATTGGAACACAACTTTGATTATATCGCACAATACTTTATAGGACTTTTCACAGAGGTTTGGTACATGTAAATTCATTATTAATCTAAAAGGAAGATTTTCTAAAAGTATGTCTCCCAATGTCAACAGCCCAGTGAGAAACTGGTTTAAACTAGCCTGACAAGCCATTCTATATGTATAAATATTTTTTTCTGGCCAGGGCTCATATAGAACTCTGTCCTGGGACAGTCTCTGTCTCTGCATACAATTGGACAATGCTAGGACTAATCTGAGCAACAAAACAATGTCAAGCATTGTTTTAAATAGGTTATTTAATTCAGGTCTTAAGAACGACCCCCTCCCTCCCTCCCTCCCCCCGTGCTAATTTATACTTTGTCTGCGTTGGTACAGAGACATGCAACGCCATTACGCCTCAGCACAAGTGCTTCCTGATGAGCTTGCAGAGGCTGACAGCTTTTTAACTATCCGTCAAAAGTGACAGAAACCTCAAGCTTGTGATTGATCAGGACACCACTTCCTTTAAACTCATCAACAGCACCACCATCACTCTCTCAAAAATAAAAAAGATGTTTAGCAGCAAACACAGAACAGATTGAAGAACGCCTCATAGAAAAAGTCAAAAAAAAGGAATGTTTATTCACCTGTGACTGAAGGAGTACAAAGACATGCAGCAACAGATGGAATTGACGAGAAACGTGGGGAGGCTGCGCAGTGGCGCAGTGGTTTGAGCTGTTGCCTTGTAGCAAGAAGGTCATGGGTTTGCTTCCCGGCCTGGGATCTTTCTGCATGGAGTTTGCATGTTCTCCCTGTGCGTGGGT